AACACACACACACACACACACACACACACAGAAGGTAGTTTTTGTACTTTTTTTTTCACTTTTTTTTTATTCCACGCGTGTCCCGCCACGTGTCCGAGCCCCATTGCGCTCGACCCGTTGATCGGTATTCAACGGGAATACCGTTCAACGGGGATTGAACGGGGACACCGGGGGTGTTCAACGGGTACAACGACGTTGTACAAAACCCGTTGCCCGTTGAATGGACACACAACTTCGGGCAAATAAAAATATCATCGAAATTGAAGTTACACACATCACGGAGGATGCGATCCCGGTGTGCTCCCTGTTCGCAGACGACCTGACAATTATTGCGGAAGCCACACATCATAACATGGAGGAAATCCATCAGATGATGGAAAGGTTTGCGAGGGTGTCCGACATGAAAGTGACCTGGGGGTCTAAGACACAGGGCTGGTGGATTCACTACCAAGGGGGGCGTCCGCCAGAATTACCATGCATTGCATGGAAGCCACGAGACACCCCATTGAGGATCCTGGGATTATCTATGACTACGGAGGGGCGACCACCAATAAACGACGAATGGATAGGCACCCGGGCCCAACATAAATTAAATAATTGGAAGAATAAACACACTTCCTTCTTTGGACGTGCCTTGGTGCTAAACAATGTGATCTTCGCAACACTATGGTACAAATCCCTCATGTGGCCCATGAGCAAACCGACCTTAAGAAGCCTTGAAGGAAAAGCGACGACTTTCTTATGGAGGGGAGATGGAGAGTTGACCAACGCAATAAGCCGTGTGGCCTGAAACTCAGTCATACAACCAAAAGTAGGGGGAGGTCTGGGGATAATTGACCCCGCCACGCAAGTGCACGCGTTGCAAATCAAATGGATCCAAAAACTCATCTTCACTCGCCAGAACCCAATGTGCATTTTAGCTTTGGAACATCTGGTTCTCTTGGCCCCAACAACACCCCGTACGGTCCACCCGCTGACCTGGCTAGAGGATTGTTTCTGGACAGTCCCACGAAAACTCCCACGCGGCAGGGTGGGTTTGGAAGAAGGAGGGCAAAGAGTGGATAGTTTTTGGTCATCCCTGCTACAAACCTGGCGGAAGTTGCCACTCCCGGATAAGGTCTGTCCCGACCGACGGGAAGAAATCTATCGTCAACCCCTGTTTGGAAATAGATGGGTGATAGGCACGAGGGGTAGTGTCATGACAAGCTTATCCTCGCCTTGGAAAAGTTGGGTAAAAAATGGAGTACTCAGAGTAGGGGATCTTTGGGACAATGACAGGCAAGATTGGAAAACAGGGGACCAATTGCGCGATATCCTAAGATACTGGCACCAGACGGAGGAATCATTGGAAAAAATTATAGAACGGATACCGCTGGATTGGTACCGGATCCTCAAATGAGGTCCTATCCTAAAAGAAAGAGACTGGGTGGTAAGAACGGGGGGCCCACTGAGCATTGGCATGATCCACATGGTGTCGTCGCAGACAGCCTTGGTTGAAGACTATGCTATAGCTAAAACTGGCGTTCTCCAGGGAAGTAGGACACCCTTTGTATGGAGAGACAAAACAACCCTACAAAGGGTAAGGGTCCTAAAAGAGAAGGGCCAAAGGGTTGCCTTCCAGACAGAAAGACCAATTCATGATTTGCCCTTCGACCCTGTAGAATGGAATTGGCAACATCCTTAAAGGAGGGGATCACAATAGTCTGTGGCAGATGTCAGTTAAATCTGCCTACAAGATGCTCAAACGCAAAAGACACTTGAAAGATATGATTAATGACAGATGGGTTAGGCATTTGAACGTGGATCGCTCCCTCCTTTCCCCGATTAAATGGTTTAAAGAACTAAAATCTAAGCCAATGAAAATCACCTCTCTACAGCGGCAGATAGCTCACCGCTGCCTCCCAACCAACGATTGGCTGACACACCGCACAAACCTCGAACAAAGGGGGCTACTGCTCCCTTGGTGCCAGTGATGTCAGAGCCTTTTTCCCTTCTACGAAAAGGCAGAGACAATCGAGCATATTTTTATGCAATGTCCGATAGCGCAGTTCACATGGATAAGGTGGGACCGCATCTGGCGAAAAATGGTACCAGACATCCCCTGGCCCTGGACATGGCAAGCTATACTGGCAGGCCATTGGCCGCCAACAGCAACAGCCACAAATTTTGTAGAAAATATGTATAGACTGGGAAGGAGGGTTGTGATTTGGGCACTCTAGTGACAAAGGTGAATTTTGGCCATGGAAAAAGTACGGGTGGAGGATCTGGAGATTAAGGAACAGATTCGACTGCAGATCCAGCTGGAACTTACGCAGAGATGGTCGGACACAAAGTCATAGCTAGACCTTCTTAAACAAACAGGAGATATCAGGGGACAAATTACAAGCTTCTGCACAAATTGGATAGGAGGGGAAAGAGCGGGCTGGATAACAAAAGTGGAGTGCAGCAAGGACAAAAGAGAAGAGACACGGGAATTGGACGAAATGAGAGATTATCGTTTGGTTTTTAAGGACTGGACTAATATAGAACCTTCATTCCCGCTACGCCCCCCCTCAGACTTTCAGGACCTTTTTCCACCACATGCCCTGTCACTGGTTGAGATCCTGTCTTGAACTCTTTTTGAACTGTCCTCATCTGCCGAAAAAGGAACCCTCCCTGGTGCCCCCTGGGGAGGGATCCTGTTTTTTTTTTTTTTTTTTTTTTTTTTTTTTTTCCAAAAAATAGGGCCCAGTGCCCAAGGCTAATATTACCAATAAGAGGAATGAGGTCGGGGTTCTCACAGTCTGCCCGAAGAAACCGAACAGAACTTGCTGAGAACCAGGCTCAACGCCCCTCATGTGGTGACGATGATGACGATGATGATGATGATGATGATGATGATGTTGATGGTGATAAAAAATTGTATTAATTGTAGTAAGCTATGCTATATTAACAATTCTGGTCTCCTAATCCTAGAGCAACTTCTAGCCCTCCCTGTACCAGGACATTGTAAATCCGAGACAAAACCAACCTAACCAATGTCACCCATAACTGATCTATCCTCGCCACTGAGCAGCCCCCCCCGATTCGCCTGTGGATTGCCTTCCTCCCGCGGCAACCCCCAGATCTCTCTACAAGGCCTCACACTCCTGCCTTTGCAGGTTACAGGGCAACACCCTAGCTCCGGCCAGCGTCGTTCAGGCATCGGCAAAACAGGGGCACATAAAAGAACAACTCTGCAGATATCTGTCCGGGTTCGACCATCACCGAAATCCTATATCCCGGATGTGGAAGAAAACTAGATGCTGTCCAAAAATTCCAGAACACCAGAAAGCTTAATATAACAATGATGAGATAAGGATACTAATGATGATGATGATTTTTTTTTTTTTTTTTTTTTTTGAAAAAAACAACCCGAACTAGCGCTAGGGGTGCTGATAAGAGCAGACACCACTAGCGCCGTCGGGAGGGCTCCATCTTTTGGTGGGGAGCAGCACCTGCTGGAAAATGGGTCCAGCGTCCTTGTACATGGTAATCATTTGATTATGCAGTCAAAAATTTGTGATGTGTATGAGCTTAATCTGTTGCGCAGTGATGAGCAGCATTGATTGCCCTCCTAAGAGAGGATTAACTGCTCATTGACACCGTGTCCATGTTGGAAAATGAGTCCAGTGTCCCTTGTCGTCTAATCAACAGAGCTTCCAAAACAAACGACCCAATCAGACAAAACCCAAGGACGCTGTAACGCAGATTGCAACAACATGATTTGTATCGGCTGAGACACCGTGTTGTATGATTATGTCCCCCAACCCGAGACTGTGTACATGTATTGATTCTGTATCTTCCAACGTGTAAAGACAAAACCCTAAGTGAGAAACTTCGCCAGCCAAAGGTGTGACACTGGCAGGGGCATTGATTACTTCCCTCCGCAGGGAAGGAACGGATTACTTCCCTGCGTAGGGAAGGATCGACTTCCCACTAAAAAAATTCCTAACAAGCCCGCCACAAATCCGTCGATATCGCAGGCCAGACAACACCAAACACCTCCAGCTATCCCACCCCTACCCTCTGCCGAATCACACGGACGAGTTCCGTTTCTAAGTTGGGGGGGGGGGAAGTCGAAAACCACATTACCTTATCAAGCCTGTATCCCACCCCGTCCACTTTCAGCATCAACCCTGTGACGCTAATGATAATCTCCGATGCATGGATACCATCTCCCACCCCGCCACTTCCTTGGTCATCGTCCCCTTCATCGTCGTTATTGTTGTTGTTGTTTCTGTCGTTATTGTTGTCGTTGTCACTATTGTTCTTGTTGTCGTTGTCGCTATTGCTGTTGTTGTCAATGTTGTTGTTGATGACATCGTCAACAGCGTCATTGTTGCAGTCAACCACGCAGTTCCCACAGTCAGCATCCCCATTGTTATTGTCATCAACGTCGTTGTTGCAGTCAGCCATGCAGTTCCCACAGTCAGCATTCCCGTTGTTATTGTTGTTGTTCGTATCATCTTTATTATTGTTGTCGTTATTGACCTCGAAGCTTCCCTTCACGTCGTCGTCCTTGCCGTCATTGTCGTCCATCACATCCCTCTCGCCACATCTCCACCGCTCCTCCAGTCGATCACGTGATGTTGTTGTTGAAATCGTCGTCGTTGTTGTCGCCGCTACTTCTGATGTGGAGAGCAGCGTTATCACGTCGGATGCAAACCGATCTTCCAGCAGAAAGCGCAAATCACGACCCTTAACAAAAAGAGCCTTACAGGTATTCATCACGCCATCCGCCCGCCGCCAATCGACGCATGCGTCGAGCTGGGGATCCGGCCCCTCCTCCAGCTCCCACATAACATCCAGGATGTCTTCGGCCGTGTCGTTAAACCAGCCCACCAGTAAGATCGCCCCCCCATCGATCCCTGGCTCTTCGTTTGACCGCACAGACAGTGCCTCAACAAGCTCCTGTAGCTGCCTGCATCCTTTCTCCAAGGTGGTCAGCCATTCTTCTGCTCCGCGTTGCAGCTCCCCTTTGTTATCGTGTTGTAATGTCCCCGCCGAGTCCATCGCGCCGCTAATCAAAGTAATCAACAGTTTATCCAGCACATCCCCTATACACGCGTCGTCTTCCGTCCGACCAGCCACGCCCTCCACGACGCTCACTGCCACGTGTCGGGCGCGAGTATAGGCCCTGCTTCCCAAGGGAGAGCGCCTCCCCAGGTAGCAGGTCGAGCAGGGTGCCACCAGACCTCGCTGGTTTGGCTAGCGCAGGTTGCTTTGCTGCATCTTCGTCAAAAGGATGATGATGATGATGTTGATGAAGATGATTATGCTGATGATGATTATGGTAAAAAATTAGAAGACTATGCTATATCAGCACCACTGGCCTCCAACTCCTAGAGCACCTCCTAGCCCTCCCTATGCCAAGACCTTACATCTCAGAGACTATGCCCTCCTAACCAATGTCAGCCATAGCTGACCTATTCTTGCCACCTAGACTATTCCTAGCCCCATAGGTCGTCAAGGCAGCCCCCCCAGCTCGTCACTTGGATTGCCTTCCTCCCTCAGCAAAACCCTAAATCTCTCTACAAGGCCTCATACCCCTGCCAATGCAGGTTACAGGGCAACGCCCCAGCTCCGGCCAGCGTCGTTTTGGCATCGACGAACCAGGGGCACAGAACAAGGCAACTCTGCAGATATCGGTGCTGATTCGATCATCTCTGAAATCTATATCCTGAATGAGGAAGTAGGCCAGATGCCTCCCAGCATTTCAGAAAACCAGGATGCATGATATAACATGGATGATGATAATGTTACACGTACGGTACCTCCCCTTCCCCTCCTTTCCACCCTGTCCCGAAGCTGCCTCCGCCGAGATGGATTACCGAGAGGCAGCCATAACAGGCCCAACTTGGGACAGTCCCACCTTCCCCCCCGCTATCTCAGAGAGGCATACAGTTCCCTCCCAAAGTATGCCTCTGCCTACCCTTTACCCTGATCTGCCCCCGCTGGTGTGAGTACTCCCACCCCAACCCCAGAATAAGGTAACCCACTACTTCTGCTCACACCCCCTCCAGGGCTTCACCTCCCACCTTGTGTCGCCCCTGCAGAGTGAAGCTCTCCCCTGATCCTAACCTCCCATCCATCAGGAACAAACGTCTATTCTCAAGAGGAGAAACTAGATACCAGAGATCCAGCTGGCATTTGGAAAATACGCTAGAGAAATTCGAGGGATTTCAAAAGATATTCAAAAAAATGATTTGGGTACTAATTACTTGGAAAGTGAAAGAGATTCAGCGATGCAAATTTTAGGAATTATAGGAATTTAGGTATTAAAAATTACCATGCCAAGAAGTTTTAGGTATATAAAGATACAATTTATGTTAGCTAGACGAGGAATTAAAAGTTTTAAAGCTAGGTGAGATGAAGAATGTATGAGACTTTAAATAAGATGTTAGTTAGAGTAAATTATTTAGGTTCGTAAGGAGATACTAATGAAATGATAATGAGATAATAATACTAGAGGTCAAACTGATGTTAAAAAGCATGATAATGAAAAAGATGATGATGATTTTCATGATGACGACAGCGACCATAATGATGAAGATGACAATGACAATCCAACACCATCCTCCTATACCTACTTACCTTGATGCTGATCATGGAGATGATGATGATGACAACTATGCTGACTACTCACGTTGATGATGAAGATGATGATGATGATGATGATGATGGTAATGATAACGATGATAATGCTACTGCTGCTGATGCTGATGAAACCGATGAAACCGATGAAGAAGCCCCTCCTCTGGCCCTGCTCATATTCTTCCGTGTCTCTTCCACTGTAGGTCTGCGCCTCTCTCCCTTTGTCTGACCCCGCTGAAACGCCATCCCAGTCGCTTTCATAGCCGGAGTAAATCTGCTTTCCCCGCCCATGTACCTTCTGGCCCCTCCTTCAATGTTAACACCAATGAAGGCAGTGCATCTGATTCCATGCGCCTGGCATGGCAATCATCAGCAGACAATGCTCGTGGTCAGAACAGAAAGTGTACTACAAAGCCGATCCACCATGACTCGTAGATCTGCCTCCCTTCAGGGGGCAAACGCCCCGCTGCTTGCGCTCCTGTCGTGCGCATCACCCCGCCGGGCTCCTCCTCCCTGACGCGGCGCGCGGCAAGCTTCGAACGCCCCGCCCACGTGCGCTCACCGTAGCGCTGAACTGGCCGATGGATGTGATGGGCGGCGCAGCGCTAACAGGAGCGCTGCGCCGCCTCAGCATCTAGCCTTCTTCTACATCTGGGAGATAACCTTGACAACAAGAACAGCCAGAGAGAGTTCTCCTCGAAGTGGTATCAGTGCTCATTGGGTCATCTGGCCCCCCCCTCTGGGGGGTGAAGAGATACGGAGGACAAAGGCTTTATTACTATCCAGCTAGTCACTTGGGATACACACACCTGCTCAGTCAATCCCCTGGGAGACAGGGCAATCAATGCTGGCAGGCCTCATAACCATACTTCTCAAATGACTCTGTATATGATCTGCATATGGGACGCTGGACCCGCTTTCCGGCAGGTGATGCTCCCCACCAATAGATGGAGCCTCCCCCTGGGTGCTAGTGGTGACTGCTCGAATCAGCAGCACTAGCACTGGCAGGGGTTGTGTTGTTTTAAAAAAAAAAAAAAAAAAAAGGTTTCTGGGTGGAGACCATCCTCTGCTGGAAACGGATCACTTGGATAGGTTGAATTACTGGGCTTCAAGCTTACTTTGAAGAAGTTTGGAAGCATTGTTTTTTAAGGAAGGTACGGGACGCTGGACCCGGTTTCCAGCATAAGGCTAATGCTGGCAACTGACAGAAAGACGGTGGAGGACACAACAACGCACTGTTTCCTAGTACCACTGCCAACAGGATTTCTTCTGTGCACTGAACTATTGCATGAAATCTGTTGACTCTTCTATGATCGAGTCCGTGTTGCATTAGAGGCCATGAACTGGCTACTACTAGTGCAGTGCCAGAGGCCCAGAGGCAATCAAGAGGCAGTTACAGCTTTAGAAAGGAGGCATTGTGTTGGGGAAAAAAACGAACAAAAAACAAAGCATTGTAAAGACAGACCACGCAAGCCTCACCCACGGCCCACTCCCTGCCCCCCCAAAATCTCCCCCCTATCCCCACCCATCGGTGAAGCACATACCTTTCACTTCCTTCCCATCATCACACCCACCAAATTGTCCATACGGGCTTAGATTTGGGGGCATTTAAGTCGTTTCTTTTCTTTTTCAGTTTTCTTTTCGAAACATCAAATGCAGGGCCTCCATCCCAGTCATACAAGTGGCCAGTTGCTTTGCCTCCCCTCCAGTCCCCTCCCCCTGCAAACATCAGCGGTATCCGCTTCTTGCCGATCGGGGGCCCCAGCGGGCTACCCCTAGATGGCGGGCACCAAGTATGCTCAGGTAGGTACAAAAAGGGCAATGGAAATTAAGCCCATGATCTCCTGAATGCCAATAGTGAACCTTGCCAACTGAGCTATACCAGTGGTGGTAAGTGAACTTGAACCACCAGAATTGGCCTTGGTGGGGTGGATGGCTCCTGTCTATTGGTGGGGAGCAGCATGTCATAGAATGAGGGAACATGATAACGAGATCCAATAGGATAGACAGGAACAAACAGTAACAATCTTACAAGTACAGAATGACAGACAAACAAATTAACAAACAAATAAACAGACAAACAGCTCAGCAAAAACTACATTACAACCGATAGCTAGTACAGAGTACATAGCAACGGCATAGATCTCAAATTCTCCCACAATCTGATTGTTTTCATAGTCAACATGGTTCACATTGTAAATTACATTGTAATCGAAAGATTAGTATAGGCTACAGGCCCACTAACCTGTCACGACCTTATTGCTATCGTGGCTGACATGGATTAAATCCAACTGTATAATTGCAATTTAAATGTACTTGATAGGGACGCTGGACCCGATTTCCAGCAGGTGATGCTCCCCACCAATAGATGGAGCCATCCCGGCACTGCTAGCGGTGTCTGATCATATCAGCACCCCTAGCAGTCGCTCGGGCTGTTTCTTG